GTTCATCAATTTTGAGTTCTTTTTAAATCAATTTTTACATTTCATGTTCTTTTATTATTTACTTTATTAATCTAAAAACCTAAAAAGAAATGTTAACTCTTTCTTTATGGTATTAATAAAGCATTATTCTATTCTCCTATTCTTCATTGCCAAAACCCCGCCAAAACAAGTACAAAAAACCCACAAATTATCTCTACTATTACATCTATTAGTAAATTATTGCTCTATTATCTTCTTTCTATTTATAACCTTGATTTTCAACTTAAGGGACTGTGGTTGATCCCTATTTTTTCCACAGGAAATAATGTTACAATTGGCTCATGTGGCTATATATCAACATTTGAGTGAACTGTGGGTAATTCAATGGAAGTATGAAATGTACGAGAATAGTATGAATCAAACTGTACACACTGTCTTCACACTCGTACATATGAGATCGATCCTCAGGGTTAAATTATCAGGGATATAGACTGGCTTTAGTCAGGCATTTTTATCAAATTTTACAAAATGCCAGAGTACACAAGAAATCTGACAGAATCTGTAGAAGAAACATTGCTATTATATACTATAGTGTATAGTATAGTATTTATTTGACACAAAATGACATTGTGAATACTCAATTTATGCTCAACTAAACACAACACAACACAAGCATAACATTAAATATAAATGAGATAAAAAGAGATAAAAGAGATAAAAATGTTGAATGGGCCAAACAATTAAAGGTCAAAACTGAGCATTTTAGCTTAGTTTTATTCTAGATGATAAATGTAGGTAATTTTAGTCGTAACTTGTGAGTATAGTAGTTATGGGTGAATCGTTAAAATAGATGAAATACCAGTAGCAGAAGCCTGGTTATTTTGAATGGCTTTTATTAATATGAATTTTTAATTTCACTTTCAAATCATATTTCCAGAGGAGAAGTCATGCTCCTAGCCAGCTGGCTCTGAGTTCACATAAGAGAAAACATAGTGATGAGGACATGCCTGGCAGTAGAAGTTGTTCTAAGGTAATGTGAAAGGCATTATTTGATCAGTTATGAAGTTGGGTCAACCACAGTTAACAGGAGAACGGTTAGGAAACTCTCTTGGTTCAACAGAGTTTCCTAACCGTTCTTCCAGTAACCGTGAGTCAACAAAGTATAGACTTCTTAAGTCGCTAACGTATTACATACTATTAATTTACGCTGGTGCTGATATCCCCCTTCCGTAGTTAAGCCTTTTTACTCTGACATAAAGTATGCACATTTGAGACACAACTCACACCAGCGTAAAGGCACACACACAAAAAAATGTGAACAAGATACGAGAGTGAAAACAGCTGCTATGTAATAATCCTTGTAAAATCCTCTATGCTTTTGTAGTACAGTATGGTTCAAGTGTAACTTTACTTAGCTAAGTGAAGGACAATTTTGAGGTCATGGGGCTTTCCCTGACCTAGATTTCTCTCTCTATGTCATTGGCTGAATCACGGATTCCCCTACCCATATTTTTACTGCCAGGGTGACGTTAAATAAAATATATAAAATCGTCATAAATTTTATTTTGCTTCGTCCAAATAAATATAAATCAACAATTTTGCTAAAAATTAAATAAAGCATGTACAGTATGTATCTATTTGGGAAAATGAATTAACAAACTTGTTACGTCTTTTTCTGAACGCGATCATGATGATGTCGTCGCGTGATGAATCAGCTGATTGTACGTGCTGACGTTTACCTAATAATAGCTCTTCAAAATTCTTATTCATTTTATAATAATAAATATATATATATATATATATTATGCATATGTAATAATATGTAGATTAATAGATTTTTTGGTTTCCATTTTTCAATGTCCATGCCAATGATGCATGTTACAAATGTACCACGCCACTTCACATTGGCGCGCCCTGTTAAATTTTTAAACCGTGGAGAACCTTGGATCTATTGTTATGAAAAGACAAAGCCAGCTTCATGCTTATATGTATTGTATGTCTTCTAATAAGGCAATACACCTTTTTGACATAAGCTTCCAGTTTCTTACTGAAAAACACAAATGAATAGTTTATTCACTAAACAAATGAGACAATGAAATCTAATCAGTGTTTCTTATCTGAAGAGCAACTTCTCCTGACGATTGTCTGAAAATGAATCATTAAATTTTAGAGTTATCTGACAATGGTTGAAAATTCCCCTACTGTCTGTGAGAATGGAGACCAGATAGAGATCCCAACATCAAATCGATTGTCTCAAAATTTAATGAAATTTCATCTTTGAATCAGTTGTCTACCCATCACCTACATGTGGGGAATCTCACTTCATTCTTCTGTACCCTCTGCTTAGGCTAAGGATTTCATCCTGCTTTCCATTCTTCCCTCCCAAATGTGTAATTTAGGGTCCAATAATGAGGTGGAAATGTTGTTTTTGCCTTTTCTGTACAATACATATATTGCTAAACACAATTTCACCATTAAAGTCTATTACAAGTTCTTTTTTTGGGTCAAAAGTTTTTTTTATGACCCGATGACTTGGTGTCCATGGCACATCGTGTGACTTATTTTTTCAGAATTTCTTCCTTTCCCGTTCATTTATATGCAACACTACATTGGATTTTTTTTCACAATCCCACCACTTTCCCATTCATCCTTTGGCTACTTTTTTCATGTGGCTTGTCTACTAATAAAGATACCATCCTACTCTTCTTTCCAGGGCATGTTGGCTACCCTCCTTTCTGGTGTCACATGAAATTATTGACCTTGTATGATTTTTGTCTTTGCGAGATATTGTGTGCCCTGACCAAATGGCCCCTGCCCAGGAAAATTGCCAAAAAATAGGAGTGGGCCTATGCCCAGACATCTCCAAGAAAATTCACTAAAATTTACATTACGGAGATCAAACTGTGACAGGGAATAGAACGGCAAATGAAAAGATGCAAAAGAAATAAATGAACAATATGCAACATTAGAAGTAAAACAAAAATAATTTATTGCTTATAATGTGACAAATAAACCAGAAATAATAAAAATTGACAGTGTGAAATCATTTGAATTGGGATTTCCCCATCGTCAAACATGCCCAATACGCGTGAACTCAAAATGTCAGGGGCTAAACTGCGTAAAATTATGTCTAGTTTCGACAAATGACAACTGTCATACAATTCAATAATAATTTACACAGTAAAAATCATGAAAGTTCATATTTGTTTGAAAAAATTCTCAGATCTTTATTTGTATGTTCATTGCTATCTTCATCAAAATCAAAACCCTCAAAGTCCAAGTCGGCATAACTGTTGCCGGTGAACAAAATTCCTACAGCTTCGTCCTGAAGTTCAAAGATGTTGCACACAATTTGGACTTAGCACTTTTAATTTGCAGATTTTGCTGTCTGTCAGTTTGGCACTTTCAATTCATGTCTTATCACAATAAAGAGACAAGAAAAATGGGGTTGCGGCAAACGACTCTGCTACAATGGCACACGATACTTTTGTTTACAGTCTGTCAATCATCTTTGACCTTTAAGCATCTGCTTTACTGATTGGCTAAGAATGACATCACTGCTACTTGCTTATCAATCATGGTGAAAGTTATCATTCAGAAAGTTCCGGCAGTTGGAATGTCTCACTATATGGATATCGAGGTGGGCTTGAAATGGGCTGACAAAAGAATAATTTTCATGACAGAAATGTAATGTATATAAATGTAGCGGTAATGAAAGATGATAAAAAAAGTTGGCAGTCTTTGGCGTGACATTGCAAAACTGATGGTCCCAGTTATGGATTCACAAGCTGCTATCAAATATTTTATAAAGGCAAAATAACATGATTTCAACCACTCTGCCAGGTACGGGTTGCTACAATATTGCAACATTGGTTTCATTGTTGATGACGCTAAAGCCGAACGAGTGCGACACTGGCTTCACGGCTCTCCATATACTGAAAAATTTGCTTGAATCGTTTTTAAGGAAGCACAAACCCTACGGTCGTCCCTTTTCAGGGCCACAACATATTTCAAAAAGAGAACTACCATTTCTGCTTTAATAATATACATTTTTGTAGACTTGCTGACTGTTATGATTCTGATAAAAAATCTTAAAAAATAATATATGTAAATTACGTAAACAGCGCTGCCTTGAAGGCATGATGCGAAATTACCTAATTTGCTGTCACAGCTATTTCGCGTGCACCTCTTGTTTGATGCAATTGACAATTATTTTTCAAGAATTGTTATCAGAATCAGACTGCAGGTATTCATCTGTTAATACAACAAACAAAAATTAGGGTTTGTTATTTTTTTTATTACATGTGTAGAAAAAAAAAACCTGGGCGTATGCCCGACCATGACCTCAATTTCTTTATTGTATCAAAATTGGGGAGTTGGCGTTTGCCCTTGCATTGAATTAGTCATCATCACTGACACCTAATCTTTATTGCTTCAACAGGATTTGAAGAAAATGAAGATAAATGGGACTCATAGTTGGTCAGGACTTAACCCTTTCATGTCACCATACAGAAAACCACTTTGTCCTATAATGAATGACTCTGATGATGAAGACAGTGATGCTCCAACTCCCACTGCTGGTTCTTCACATGTAAGTGTTATTACCGTGACAATCAAGACTACTTGTTCACAACACTTGTGCTGCGATGACCAGCCTTATTCTTCTCACATACTGTAGATTACTTTATTTTAGCTGGAATTAATTTTTGCTGAAAAGACTTTTTGGGTGTTTTGTATGGAATTTATTTTCACTGATTTTTGACAAGTTGAATGTCAATATAGGTAAAAAAAAAGTATATTCGCTGGATTTTATTTTCACTGAATCATTCCTTCAGCGAAAATTAATTCCAAGCGAAATTAAAGTATTTTACAGTATTCCTATCAGGGCTGTTACTACTAAATGTTTACTGTATACCGTTTATCAGTATATTAATTATTTTACACTTGAGAAAGTAAGTGTCACAGACAGTTTGAATTAACCCTGCTATTTGTTAGACTTGCATGGTTGTTTGAAACATGCCTTCTCTTCAACTTTTAGGCAAGAATTACTCATAAATCTTGCCAAACTTGCAAACATCAACAGTATATTCTAATTATCAAAAAATAAAATATTTAGTGGAATACTCTGACCAGATACATGCAATTTGCATACTGTAATCTAGTCACCATCTTTTCTTATATATCTAAAGCTTAGGTTTAAATGCAATTAAAAACTCCAAGATCACAAACTTTTGACAAATGATAGATATACATTACAACACATGGACAAATCAGTGAGAGATGTATATAGATCTCATAGCATACATCTATGAAGTGATGTCAGAAGTTTTGAGGAGTTTGTACTTCCCGTTTTACAAGTGGCATCCACCATGTAGCAGCCTAAGTAATTCTTGTTACCGGTAACTAGTTTTGGTCTTCATTAGGCCACTTCTAGTGAGGCCTTCCAAGATTATTTTGGTAACATAATTATCTACCATGTCTTCAAATGTTGGTGCAATTTCCAATACCAAGCTTATTTGTGTGGTACTTCCATTCCATGGCGTTGATGTAATGCTTAACTCATACCGGTAATTAAAGTTTTCTTTCATTTCAATATTTCAAACACCATGGTGTGTGTAATTAGCTAAAGTAACAGCTACTTTCTTCTCTTTGCAGGAGGATATGATTCGCAGGATTCTTTCCAGACCATTTAAAATTCCAATTCCCAATTATAAAGGTAATGAGGTCTATTACATCAGAAGCATTGTACTTCTCCAGATGTAATGTCTGTTTCGATCACATGTTTTTTAATGTTGTAGAAATTACATTTCATATTATTCAGCTCCAAAGAATGTTAGTAATTACTCGTTATTACTTTGCAGACGACATGATGGTGATGCAAGTAATCGCAATTAAAACTTGATGTACTTTTCACTATAAAGACTTGATATCATAGTTTTTATCCACCAGAACAATCAGATTTTTTTCATATACTGTTATAAAAAAATCAAAATATAAGAGGCTTTAAATAGCCATCTTAAATTCATGTTTAAGATAAAAAAATAGTGATTGAAACCTGTTTAATATAAACGAAAATATATTATTATTAAGCAAAATGTGCTTCTTGTAATGCCAGAATATATATAGGTATAACTGAAAAATTATTCTAAATGATAATAATTCTACCACCATTTTAATTTAAAGAAATGTGCTAATCATATGATCTAAACCACAAATAACATGGTCTTCACTAGATCTTAGTGCTGTGTGTATTATAATGAATTATTTGTGAGTTGTTTCAAACAAATACATCTGTTGGGCAAATGTATTCCTTTTTTTAAAGTTGGATATCGTTTTGGTGCCGAGTCTGTCAACTCAACAAAATATGCTACGTTATTTTGACTTATTTTCCATTTTCAAGTCATGCACACACAGAATAATAATAACATTTCAGAAACTATGAAGAGCTCAATGAATTAAGGGCTGGTCCTAAATTATTTGTTATCACTGCTCAAGGAGAAATGTGTAAATAGCAAAAAATAAGTTTAAACACCTATTGCTGTTTCAAAAATTTGTCTCTTTTATAAACTGATTAGCACTGAAAAGTATTATCCTATTAGCATATTATGGAACATATTAAAAGTATCTAGAAGTCTCTGCATTCCAAGCTAACTGATCAGATTGAAAATGAGAAAACAAATTAGACGCACAAGATATAGTCATACAGAACAACATTTCATCGGTACACCATTAATTGCTTATTATGGTGCCCTCTAGAGGTTATTGACAATATACTTTTGTTTGTGTTGGCTATTCCTGAGCAAATGATATTTCTCAGGTCTTTCAAACAAATCAAATTTTTAATTGTAGGGAAAACATACATCAGGAGACTGATTTGTTGAAGTGATAGAGTACAATATATAAGCTTGAACATTTTACAGTTTTCATGAAAATACAATTTGACAATTAGTGTTGTAAATTTTTCCTACACAGAACATAGTAGACTACCTTTCAGTCTTCACAACTATGACAAGATAATGTTTATCATCCAAGTAATCTCGTGTGATGTGATGTCTTTGTAGGTCCTGTCATGGGTAAAGTTTTGGGTGTGCGAAGACAGGGTGCACGCCGACCTTTACATGACCCAGACGAAGAGGGTGCATTAATTTTGTATAGTCCACCAGTTTTATCAGCGCATGAACAACTCACAGTGAACAAGTAAGTTTCAGGGTCATGCTTGAATCAGGAATTGTGTAAATATTTCCCTTAGTGTATTAATCTTGTGATTTGTGTGTACTGTAAAATGACTAATTTTCACTGGGTTTAAATTTC